CAGGTGTACGGTTCCTAAAATGGCTGCCATATACACGTCCACTGATAGGAGACGCGGAAGGTATTAAACTGATCAGAACAATACTAAACACACCACAAATGAGGTTTCTCTCCTGTATGGCTCCTCAAATGATGCTTAAGATTAGAAGCGGCTGAAAAGCATTTCTCACACTCCGAACAAAAATATATTTTTTTAGCATTCTCTCCACTTTGAACGAAATGACGTTTGGGAAGAGATTAACATAATTAAACACAGGCAGTAAAAATACAGTTTTTAGCCATACCCTGTAACTTTAAAACTACACATCCCATCTTCATAATTACATATTTGGAATCAGCACACTTAAAACATAGAAACATAACCAAAAAATCAGCCAAATCCATCCAGGGGTTAAAAGTTGGCTAGAGTCCTTTATGACCGACCGCAAGCACATTTTCACCTGCCAAAACAGTTCCATAGATTTGGGCTGTGAAGGTCGGTCTATTTCAGACTGAAAAACGACTAAGTCCCATGGCGAATGGGACTTAGTCTCTGCAGCTGAAATAAGGCTGAAAAAAACGGCTGAAAAAACGACTAAGTCCCATGGCGAATGGGACTTAGTCTCTGCAGCTGAAATAAGGCTGAAAAAAAGACTAAGTCCCATCGCCGAATGGGACTTAGTCTCTGCAGCTGAAATAAGGCTGAAAAAAACGGCTGAAAAAAGACTAAGTCCCATCGCCGAATGGGACTTAGTCTCTGCAGCTGAAATAAGGCTGAAAAAAACGGCTGAAAAAAAGACTAAGTCCCATCGCCGAATGGGACTTAGTCTCTGCAGCTGAAATAAGGCTGAAAAAAACGGCTGAAAAAAAGACTAAGTCCCATCGCCGAATGGGACTTAGTCTCTGCAGCTGAAATAATTTCCCATTTACTGAACCAAGTGGGAAATAGCAAGGCAGGCACAAAGGGTTTGCACCAGGTCTGGGGACACAGGGGACACCGTCTTAAAGGGGCCGTGTCCCCAACAAGTCTGGGGACACGGCCTTAAAGGGGCAGTGTCCCAATCTTCCTGATGTCCCAAAAAAGGTGTTTAAAGGGCCAGCACCAGTCACATAAAGAGTCCATAAGCCCCAATATGCCCACCGACAGTCTTAAAGGGCCATACACACCAAATAAAAGTGCATACATTTTCACAATCTCCCAGGGGCCATAGTCATGCGGGAGGAGGCTGGCAAATAGGCTTCTCCACAACCCAGGGAAGCAGGGCAATTTGCCATTTAAAGGGCCCGTTACAAATAGCAGTTTGTAACAAGGTGTCAATCCATATCTGCCAAGTGACCCGATGTAGGGGGACCAGTCCCTATTCTGCTCTGTGTCAGTGTGTATCAGGAACCTTAGGACAGGTGTCAATCCATATCTGCCAAGTGACCCGATGTAGGGGGAACAGTCCCTATTCTGCTCTGTGTCAGTGTGTATCATGGTCTCTGAGGACAGGTGTCAATCCATATCTGCCAAGTGACCCTATGTAGGGGGACCAGTCTCTATTCTGCTCTGTGTCCGTGTGCATCAGGGGCTCTGAGGACAGGTGTCAATCCATATGTCAAGGTGTCAATATGTCATATGTCAGGTGTCAATCCATATTGATTGTGATTTAGGAATGTTAGGTGATTTCTGCCCTTTATGGATTAAAACCAGACTCTGTATCAACTGTGTAATTTTCCATGGGAGTTTTGCCATGGATCCCCCTCCGGCATGCCACAGTCCAGGTGTTAGTCCCCTTGAAACAACTTTTCCATCCCTATTGTGGCCAGAAAGAGTCCCTGTGTGTTTTAAAATTCGCCTCCCCATTGAAGTCAATGGCGTTTCGGGCGGTTCGCCGGTTCGCGAACATTTGCGGAAGTTCGCGTTCGCCGTTCGCGAACCGAAAATTTCGGGTTCGCGACATCACTACATCCCACTTCAGACCATGAAGATGAGGAATTTATAAACAAATGGTACAGCAAACTTGAAACATTCATTCTCACGGGCACGTTAATTATCAAAAAAAGCAAAAAATGATCTATTCTAGACAAAGAAATCAATGATCTTAAAGAAAAACTTACACCATTCATTGACACACCAGTATTTAAACAAAATTTGATTCTTATCCAGAATAAGATGAAAAAGGTAGAAATGGACACTAAGCACATAAACGTGAAAAAATAAGTTTGAGATAAACATGATTATTCGAAAAACCAAATCAGAACATACCACCAAAACAAAAAATACAGTTCTGATCCTTCTGACTACAACACCATGAGTCCTCCAATATACCACCATACCAAACATACTACTCACTTGCAAAGATATGACCCCCCTCCTAGATATCACCCACAAAAAACAAGTACCCACAAATCTGAAGCCACAATCCAAATGTTATCCTTCCAGTTCAAAATCAGGTCCCCTAGAAGTATTTGAGAAGCTTGTTTTAAAAGATTTTAATAAAATTACAAAATTAAAATCGGACACACTCAATTTTAATTACAAAGAAAGACAGGCCCTTAAGGAATTATAATCAGACGAAGATATCATTTGAAAACCAAAAGATAAAGGTGGAGGCCTTGTTATTCTTTCAAAATAAACGTACATAACGGAAGCCCTAAGACAATTAAATGATACAAATGTATATGAAAATTTAACTAATGACCCCAGTCCTCAGATAAAAATGGTTTTAAACAGTTATTTAACCAAAGGAAGCAATCTCAATATTCTCAACACACAAGAATATAATTATCTAAACAAAATGAATCCAAAAATTCTGGTTATTTACTTTTTACCCAAGATACACAAAAATGAATCCTGTCCTCCGGGTCGCCCAATTGTTTCAGGAATCAACTCTATTTTATCTAACTTATCAGACTATATTGACATTTTACTCCAACCTTCTGTAAAAAATATGAACTCATATTTAAAATATTCCATGTCTCTTCTACGTTTTTTAAAAGATTTTACATTGCACCCTAACTCTATCCTGGTGACTTGCGATGTACAATCCCTTTACGCAATTATTCCACACAAAATGGGATGTGAAGCAGTCACCAGAATATTAAAGAATGAAAATAAGATCCCCGAGACTCAAGTTGACTTTATCCAAGAAGGCATAGAAATTATTTTAAACAATTTCTTTCGGTTTTTAGATTCCTTTTCTCTTCAAAAAGAGGCATGGTGATGCCCCCAGCAATGCCAACTTATTTATGGCAGACTGGGAAACAGAATCTGTATGGGGAGACCATAGCTGGTGGGCAAAGCCGGCCCCCTATTTTTATTATATTGATGATCTATTTTTTATCTGGAATGGTTCTGAATGTTCTCTTGTCTCTTTTTTTTAAGTATTTTAATGAAAATGACAAAGGTATCGTTTTGGGATTTTATTACTTTAATATGGTAATAATGTGCCTGGAGAAGCGCATGCCTGGTGTGGAGTCTGGTAAGTGTTGTGGGCTTGGGACCGGTGCACGTGCTCCACCAGCAGCATGTTGGCTGGGATCTCCAGGGCGTAGGCATGCAGCAGGCCTCTGGCCTAAGCCGGCAGGTCCGTCTGGAGTATAGTCTCAGACACCTCCCTCAGGCGGAGATTATTGCACCTTGCATGGTCTTCCAGATCAGTTACCTCCAGCTTCATCTCTAGGTGTTCCACATGGCTCGCCAGATCGTTATGCGCCATGGCAAATTTGTCCATTTTTTTATTCCGTCTGGGAGGTGCGTTGGCCAAGCTCCTGCACATCCTCGTGCAGGGAGTCCATGGAGTGCTGCCACGAGGTGATAAACTTTTGTGAAAGGGCATCAAACGCAAAAGTGAGGTAGCTCGTGGTGAGCTTTTCAGCATTGGTGGTTACGGTCGCATCAGGTCCCAATTTGTCATCATCCAAGTCATCGTCGCCATTTTTATTTGAGGCCTGCAGGTCAGCTGGCCCAGAGTGCAGTTTCTGTGCGAAAAAGTTTTGTTTTTCTGCTCTCAAGGAGATTTTTGTGTTTATGCTGTGACATCCCGTCTGTGTTGCTTTTTCCCTCATTATGTGTGCTGGATTGAAGTGGATGGAGAGCTTAAATGCTGGAGCTAGGGATTATGCATCTATCTTGCTTGAAGATTAGCCACGCCCCCCCTCAAGGATATTTTTGGCTACAAAACCAAACAAGTGGAGACCAATAATAGACCTAAAAGAAATAAATCTAGAGCTTAAAAAGTTGTCTTTCAAAATGGAATTGATTTCTTAAATTTTCCCATCGATAAGACCAGAAGATTGTATCACCTCAATAGATCTCAGGGATGCCTACTATCGGATTCCACTGCATCCACTACTCTTCAAATTCCTGAAATTTTTCATCTTTGGCAAGCATTAACAATTCAGAGGTCTTCCATTTGGTCTGAGCTTGGCCCCCAGAACTTTCTCAAACTTCCTGGTGACCCTGATAGCCTTCTTAAGAACTCAAGCTTTGAGGATTTTTCATTACCTAGACAATATCATTATATTAGCAGAATCTTTCAACATGACAATGATGGCTCTTAAATGTCTCCAAAACCATGGTTGGATTGTAAATATGGAAAAGAGTTCTCTGTCCCCATCTCACCAAATTATCTATTTAGGAGCGGACATACGCATTGAAAGAAATGGTAAATATATTTTCAGACAGAAGTTCCTACATTCAAGAGAAAATCCAGGAGAATTCTGAAAAAGAGATCCACATCAGCAAGAGATTATGAGTCTCCTAGGATCCCTCACTTCCACCATAGGTCTACTGAGATGGTTTCAGTGGAATTCAAGGCCAATTCAAATGAATTTCCTTCTTCAATTCAAAAAATTACAAAACAATTGGGACCAAGAAATCCTGATTCCGAAACACATAAAGAACCAACTAAGGTGATGGATATCCATTCATAATCTCCAGAAAGGGTTTACTTTAGAAGAACCAAACTTGATCAGTATTACAACAGATACCAACCTCAAAGGTTGGGGGAGCCCATTTCAGATCCACCTGGACTCAAGGAACTTGGTCTCAGAGGGAGAAGAAATTAAATTCCAACATAAAAAAATTAGTAACCACCCATAAAGCACTGAACGTCTTTCTTCCAGACCTTCAGAAGAAATGGTTGCCGATTCAGACAGACAACAGGGCAGTTGCAGCATATGTCACTCATAAGAGGGCAACAAGAGCAAACATCTTCTTTCAGCCATGAAACCCCTCATGATTCTGGCTTAGATACACCTGTGAGGTCTAAAAGCCTTGTACCTACCTGGAGTGGACAATACCACAGTGGACTATCTGAGCAGAGAAGTTATTTAACCAGGAGAATGGACCCTACACCCAGAGGTATTAAGGATGATCACTCAAAAGTGGGGCATATCCCAAATCGACCTCATGGCAAACAGAATACACACGTATGGGATTTTTTCTCCCTGAATCCAGATCCTCTGTCAGCAGGTGAAGATTGGGACATGGGATTTTGATCTGGGGTATGTGTTCCCTATTGAAGAAGATTGGCAAAGAAATAAGAAAGACCCCCCTCACACCCAGGAAGGACATTCTAATCCAAGGCCCAGTACTTCATCCAAACCCATCTCAATGGAATCTGGGAGCATGGCTTTTAAACGGTCATCTCTATTAAAACTGGGCCTATCAGATAAAGTTGTTGATACTGTAACATATTCATCCTCACCTTGCGGTCAGTGGCCGTGCATCTGCATGAATAACACTTGCGGCATGTTAATGGATGCCGGCCACTGCGGATCCATGGCTAATTATACCCCCACGTCCGCTCACGTGACTAACGATGTCGGCGTGCATGTGACGTCACGCATGCACCGCGCGCCTTTTTTCCGGGTCAAAAAACGATCCGGGCCAATCAGAAAGGTAAATCAGGTATAAAAACCTAGAATTACCTTTCCTCATTGCCCTGTCGTGGTTTCCCTAGTGGTTGTCCGAGAGCACGTTCCTAATTCAAGTTTCTTCTGGTTTTTTACTTTGGCTTTGATTTTGACTTCTCTGTATTTCTGGTATCCCTGACCCCTTGGCTTTCCTTTATCGTTGTGTCCCTATCTGTATCCCCTGACCTCGGCTAGCACCCTGACTATTCTTTGGTAAGTTAGTCCGGCCATTCTAAGGCCTGGTAATACGTTACCTATTAGTCATCTGTGTAACACAATTCTACGTGCTGGATCATATAGTAATCCCGACAGATACTCTCCTAAAATATAGGAAAAAGTCTAAAAATTATGGGCTGGTTCAGTTTCCATAGGCCCTATAAATCCATCACATTCAGATACTGGCATTTTTACAATCGGGTCTGGATAAAAGACTTAGTCTAAGTACTCTCAAGGTCCAATTTTCAGCCTTATCTGTGCTCCACAATACATCCTGGATTTCACACCCACTTATTTCAAGATTTTTCAATGCAGCTATGAGAATTAATCCCCCTGCAAGCAATACCACTCCTCCTTGGGATCTTCCTCTAGTTCTACAAAGGTTAATGGAACCACCATATGCCTCTCTCTTACAAATTTATATCCAACATCTTACCTTCAAAACTGTGTTTATGGTTGCAATTACAACCGCTAAATGTATTACCGAACTTCAAGCCTTTTCCTCTCAAGACTAGTGATGTTCCGAAAGGTTCGCTAAACGGTTCGCGAACAGTTCACCGCGAACGGTTCGCGGCGGACTCATCATTGAGTAAACTTTGACCCTGTACCTCACAGTCAGCAGACACATTCCAGCCCATCAGCAGCAGACCCTCCCTCCTAGACCCTCCCACCTCCTGGACAGCTCACTAAGAATGCAGCTTCACAATGAATGTAAAATGGATGCTGTCCAGGAGGTGGGAGGGTCTAGGAGGGAGGGTCTGCTGCTGATTGGCTGGAATGTGTCTGCTGACTGTGAGGTACAGGGTCAAAGTTTACTCAATAAGTAAACCATTCGCCGAACCGTTCGGGACATCACTACTCAAGACCTCCATATTCTAATCTTCCACAACAAAGTGGTTCTTAAACCTGTTCAAAAGTTCCTTCCTAAAGTGGTATCTAAATTCCACATGCATCTAGTAGTTTTGCCATCCTTCATCCCGAATCCTCAAACTCCGGAAGAAGTGAAGCTTCATGAACTGGATATTTGAGAGTATTTAATCAAATATTTGGAAACTACTAAAGACTTTAGGAAGTCAGAAAAACTTTTCATCCTACCTAATGGTTCCAGAAAAGGAGAAGCAGCCTCTTCTTCAACAATTACACGTTGGATAACAGCAGTTATAGCAGATGCATACCTAAAGAATAATTAAATTCCACCGGCCAAGATCAGAGCTTATTCTACAAGGTCTTTTTACAACTTGGACAGAGGTACCTTCGGATGATATCTGCAAGGCAGTCACTTGGTCTTCTTCTGTTCACAGTTTATAATATACCTTTTGTAATGCAATCTTCAAATTAAAATTACTTTTTTCTCCCACCCCTTTAAAAATTTAGCTTGGGTATTACCCATAAGTGATGCTGCCATGATTAGCCAGGAATAAAGTAAATTGAAACCATACTTACCATACTTTTCTCTTCCTGGCTACTTATCATAGCAGCATCATTTTCCCTCCCTAGTGTTTTTGGACTTGATAATGGACTGGTGTGTGAAGGGATGAGGGACCTTTATATACTTGGTTTCATTTGAATTCTGTTTCCTGTCCTGTTCTGGTCCTGAGGACAGAGCTACCCATAAGTGATGCTGCCATGATAAATAGCCAAGAAAAGAAAATTACGTAAAGTATGGTTTAAATCTTCCTTACTTTCATATAAAATGTGCCCACACTTATTATTTATAATTTTGCTTGAGATTAACAGCTATTTCATTTCCTCCCCTCTGCCTGTTTATATATGAAACCTAATTTAGCATGAATAATGTTGAAAAGAATGTGGGAAATTAATAGGGATGTGCACGGACAAAAAATTTGGTTCGTTTCGGGACTTTGGCAATTCCCTAACCTTACCCCCTAACCCCTACCCACCATAACCACTTACACATATAGGGGGTATGGGTAGGGTTAGATTCCTGTCATCATTCCTGTAATTTTCCCTCCATCTCTTGTTTTGTCACTTTTCAGAAATCCAAAGCACTTCGGCATATCGGCACTTCAAAAATTCAGCAGTTCGAACTTTCTGAAGCATCCGAATGTCCGAATTGCCAAAATTCAGTCGAATTTACATTCAGAATGAAACGAATTGCACATGTCTAGAAATTAAAAAAGTGTTTTCCCAATGGGAGGCAGACCTAGGGAAGACATTAGAAGAAATTGACTGGGAGGACATATTGGAGGCCAAGAAAGCTGCCTCGATTTGCTCCATATATTCTTCCTCAGAGAATACCACCTTTATCTCAGTATAGGTCTAATTTTTTGTGACCACGTGATCGGACCTGGTATTATAGTTTCTGTAATATAATTTATTTATATTGTGTTTTAATGTTTGTTTTTGTAATGTTATAGTTCATTGTATTTGTAACGACACCCTCAGCATAAAAGGGTTAAACTGTCGTTTAGTAGATCTTCTCTTCCAGAGACACAGGCACAGCTACTGCAGAACACCAATCCGCCGAACAGGAAACCATATGAATGCTGTAAACAGCCGAACCGGAACCATACGAATGCTGTAAACAGCCAAATAGGAAAAACCATACGAATAGGTTTACACTCCTAGCAGTCGAACTGGAACAGCAGGAATGGAGACTGGGCTCCCAATTCCCTGCAGGACCAGTGGAGAGACCTCGGTCCCATCAAGGCTCCGTTTTGAGGGTCAAGCAGTGAACAGTCAGAGCTGTGGGTTTATTGTGCTGATGTACACATTATTACACATTAGTACCACCCACAGGGTTTTGGAACACAACCAATAAACACATACAATACACTCAGAGACTCCCACACAAAATCCTCCCCTCTGCCTGTGATACAATTACCTTACACAATGGGTAATATAATTATAACAAGCAGAGAAATAAAATTTTTCCACATTATTCATAACTTGAAAACTATGCATCACATTCACATATAACTTACATTTTCAGAATCAGCATACTCCAAATACAAACATACGTCAAAATCATACAAATTGGTCCAGTGGTTCAAAAGATAGATCATAGTCCTTTGTGACCAAAGGAAGCATGGCTTTTCTGCCCAAAACCAGTTCCACAGAGTCTTCTATCGTGGAGATAATTGGGAAGTAATCCAATTATCTCCAAAGACAGAGGCAAAACTCCATTGAACATATGGCAGCAAAAGACAATAAAACACATAAAAACATATAACTGTGCAGCCATTGCACAAAAAAGGTACATTCAACATATCCCCAGATAGCTCAGATCTGAGCGCACATTATTACTGAATGGCGCTCAGAGCACACAGATACAGTTCAATTGCCATGGAGTCAAAGTCTTTCCCATAGTCTTTCATTATACGAATGGGCTCCATGGCATAGCTATCTGGGGTATCACCGCTCAAACAGGGCAAGCACCAAATGACCCAGCTTTCATGTCTTTGCAGGGGAAAATCAAGCCTTTTAACATGGGACCATAATCCAAAGGCAACAGGCGAGCAACCAGGCTTCTCCAATGCAATGTGGCGAGATTGGTCTCATCACAGTATTTATGCTTATTATATGTAATACGCCATACCAGTTATTTATTTTAAAGTTATACTCACTTTGTTGTATAATTGATCACATGATATCATCTGTCAGTTAGATTTGAATGTACTCCCTATAAATACTGTGAAATTCATGTGTATGTACCACTTTTGAAAGCCTCTGTTGAGGAAACTGACTTTTCCAGTCAGATTTTTTTGAAAGGAACATATGCCTGAAATTTGTGAAAATTAATAGCCAATTGCTTCTAATTTAAATCAGCTAAAATGCTTTGCTAGAATTTCTTTGTAGCGTTCTCTCAAATATTCTGAAGGATTACCAACATAATACTTTTTTGAGTAGTAATGCATTTTGCAACAATGTACATGTATCAGGGTTTTCATTAGAAAATGTTCAATCAATTATGGTATTTTGACTTGGACAAAACATTTTGAGGCTTATTTGCTATAAATGTACTTCATTGCTTACCAATAGCAATTGCATTCAAGATCTGTGAAAGATTATTTACTAATCAATATTTTACTTGAGAACATTTACTTGGATCAAATATTATACAAAGAGATTACTACTGACATTTTTGGGATAAAAAGCATACTGTGAAATATTAATTTTGTGGGAACAAGCATTAAAGAAAAAAAATGACAATTAGAACGATTCACAGTTCAAAGATCATCTATAGTCATTTTTGTGGTCAAAAAGAAAAAAAAAAATAGAAGCCAAGATTGTTTCAACTATAAAGTGTGGGTTAATTTGCATTTCTTTATTATTTAGCTAACCAGAATAATATTTTAAATGACATCTCGCAGAAATCTTGAGGATTAGTTGAGGATCTTCTATACACATGTCTGCAGCAAAGACTAACTGGTTCATTATCTGCAACAGCCATATTCACCTTCCTTTAGAGTTCTTGAAAGGGGGAATTGCTGAACAGGGTTGGGTGCCACAGCCCTTTAACAGTGCGCCCGGCCACCTGTAATGTCAGCTGTGCTGTAAGGAAGTTAAAGCCGGTCACTTCCTACCACCTACAGGGAAAGCTGCACGGGTGGCATAGATGAGTAGGAGGCACAGACAGCAGAATGAGGTAGAACAAGGAGAGGGAGAACCTGCTCCACACTCCTATCAGCTGCAGCAAGCAGTGGCAAACCATCCTCCTGTTCACAAAAGGTATATTAAGAGGAGGGTGGCTAAAAATATAAAAATGATGACATTTATTTGTGTATGGTGTGTGTGCATGTGTGTATGTGTCAGTATGTGTATCTGTGTGCAGCATGTGTATATGCATCATTGTGTGTATCTGAGTGTTTGCAAATGTGTCAGTGTATATCTCTGTTTGTGTGTGCATATGTGTATGTATATATGTGGCAGTGCATGGTTATATGTGCATAAATACCAAATATCAAATGCCGACTCTATACGCATACACACTCTTGCAATCAAACAAACATAACATACAACCACACCCCTGCATTCAAACTCCAAAATTATATAAACACACCCACTCAAACATCAACACTACAAACAAGTGTACACCCACATTTAAAAGCCAATATAAGTGCAAACAATAAACACAAAAACTTGCTTACATTGAAAAGCACAAACACTGCTCACAAATACAGCCCTGCAAGGATGAGCAAATGGTACATCTCCAGCTGGCATAACATCACAGGGGTTTTACAACTGATGTGGATTTACTGTTTGGCCACCATTGCACTAGAGGTAGCACAAAAAAAAGTATTTTATACCAGGGTTCTCTCTACATTAATTCTGCCATTTGCCCTTGGATTATGTGTGTAATTAGATTTGGTGACAATAACTAAAAGTTATTGACATAGGAGCTAAGGGACTAAAGGAATGACTATAGACTGTAAGCTCATTTGAGCAAGGTCCTCTTCAACCTATCATTCCTGTTTACAAGTTTTCTTGTAATTGTCCTATTTATAGTTAAATTCCCCCCTCTCATAATATGTGGAATCTGTTGGCGCTATATAAATGACAATAATAATAATAATAATGAAAAGAAATTTGGGAATGCCTATGAAACTGGCACCAAGAAATACTCAAGCATCAAAGAATGTGCAGACCTGTTCGGACGTTTAGGAAACCACACATGCAGAACAACACTGTCAGGAGGTTTAGGAAACAGCAAAGCCATAACAATAGTCTTAACAGGGCTTTTGCATATACAATGTCTTAACGTATCATTAGGTATTGGGTTTTTTTCAAATTTTTATTGGGTAATAATGCAAGATTACAACACTT